TGCAAAATGGAGGCAGGTGTAAGGTGATGAAGCTGGAGTCCGTAGAACTCCACGAGCCCCCGGAGAAACGGATGTATAGGAAATCCGAGTCCCCTTATTAAGTAGGAGACGAAGCACACCCGCTGTCCTTTGGAGGGATTGGGGGCGCTCTCCGCCTGCTTCCCACCTTTGTAGGTGGCCAGTCCGGCTCGAACCGGAACCATGAAGGCCGGGGGAAGATATCCCTCTGCTTGGAGCGTCACTAACTCGCTGTGCGGGACTGAGCATCTCCTCCAATCTCCTGGCTTAGGGCTGGGAGCGCGAGAAGAGGAGCCGCGTCGACTGTCCATGTTGGAATGGGTTTGGTGTCAGATGCACCTCGATGAGTGCTTGCGGAAGGAGGATGATGTGATTTGGTTCTGGATCCTCGCCTCTCTTATAGGCAGCTTATTTGCGCAGCTAGGGGGTAAAACATAAAAATACCCTGGCTTTTCGCATTCATTTATGGACACGGAAGCCAAGGAGCGCAGCATTTATGAAGCAACCAGACACTATCCGGCAAACACATGGAGCATGAAGAAGAACCCGCCTTGCAAACGCCGAAGACAACATACGCGCCGAATTTGTCGTTATTGAAGCCTGGTTCGGGGGCTACTGAGGGAGTCCCGGACTAGGGGGTGTCCGGATTGCCGAACTATCATCATCGGCCGGACTCCAAGACTATGAAGATACAAGATTGAAGACTTCGTCCCGTGTCCGGATGGGACTTTCCTTGGCGTGGAAGGCAAGCTTGGCGATACGGATATGTAGATCTCCTACCTTTGTAACCGACTCTGTGTAACCCTAGCCCTCTCCCGTGTCTATATAAACCGGATGACCTTAGTCCATAGGACGAACAACAATCATACAATAGGCTAGCTTCTAGGGTTTAGCCTCCTTGACCTCATGGTAGATCTACTCTTGCAACCCACATCATCAATATTAATCAAGCAGGACGTAGGGTTTTACCTCCATCAAGAGGGCCCGAACCTGGGTAAAAACATCGTGTCCCTCGTCTCCTTTTACCATCTGCCTAGACGCACGGTTCGGGACCCCCTACCCGAGATCCGCTGGTTTTGACACCGACACACGGGGTGGAGACGAAGTACTTGTTGGGTGTGTGACACGAAGTAGCCGCGCCCACATGTGTGGGCAATTCTAATATCCATCCACACACAACCCGTATGGGCTGCCTCCTGCTCACATCACACATGGTGTGTGGCCAGACCCTTTAACGCCCACACGTGTGGGCGTTATCGGCGTCCTATTTTATTAGGGGCCAGTTAGCCTTTGCTGATTATTGTTTAAAGTCGGCTTTCTCCCTTTTCAACTACTGATCATAACTTGGAAGTTATGATATAGCAACAATGGGGTCATAGGTAACGCTTTGGCATCTGTAGATACTAGTCCAATGTATACTTGGGTATCTTGCGGTGGATCTTGCATATATCCATGTAATGTTGTGCCTATAGGCAGTTTTTTAGGTAGTGGGCTCCATAGTCAAATTCAAGAGGATGACTATAATGGGATTAAGGCACAAAACCAGGTCCATAGGTGGATTCCGTAGTCTTTGGCACGTAACTGTAGCAATTTCACATATATCTCCAAAGGAAGTCTGCAATCTCTATACAAACTTGTTTCAAATGTTTGTTTTTAGAAACTTGTTTCAAATATCTGCAACACCACTTGCTCCATAACGAGATGTTAGTTGTTGTTGTTTTTTTTTGAAAAGGTGGATGTACCCCCGGCCTCTGCATCTGGACGATGCATGCAGCCATATTATTAATTATTCACAAAGACCATACAAGGTGACACATCAATAAGACTGAAGCCACCATCTTGGCAACACCGTTGGTACTCCTATCCCCTTGATGAAGGCATGCCGAATGTCAGGGCCTAATACCAAACAGACATCGCACCATATCCTAACATCTAAAGCCGGATTTCCCATTCAAGACACTACCTGGATTGGGTCCCAAACCGGTCTCGCACATTCCCAGTGAGCACCGTACGCTGCAAGGGCCGTCACCTCCATCTTCCCTCGGTCCATCCTCAGAGCAGAACTGATGCACCAACCTTGCCAGGCCTCTCTGCCATCAATGCCACCATGACGCCAGACAGGTTCCTCCTCCTGTGCGAGTCTATCTACGGACATCAGACGCCGAGTCTCCACAGTGCCACACCGCCGAGAACCGCCACCATCAATGTGGAAGATGAAGCACCGCTCCACCAAAGACGCCATCCTCCGGTTCCTCAGCCCGTGTGCACCTCCAAGAATGACGCCCCCAAGGGGGAAACGACACCAGAGAACCGTCGTCATCCGATCTACTGATCTAGGATTTCCCCCGGAGGTAGCAGAGAGTGGCCTTCAACTTCTCCACGACGATGCCTTCAGGAGGGAACGACACAGACATCATCGCCATCGCCGGCCTTGGCAATAGCCAATAGCAGGTTTTCACCCAGATCTGATCGAACTCCATCTCTTGTGCATAGGCCGCTGCCATCCCTGCCGAGATCTGGATGAAGCAGCCACCAACACACAGCAGCCCCCCACGGTCCAAGGACGGCGCCTTCAGGAAGGGGAACGGCACTGTAGCACTGCCGTCGTCCCCAAGCAGGACCAAGGGTTTCCCCTAGATGCAGGGGAGGGTGGGTGGGGGTTGAGATACCTCAATAAAGACTCCAAGGAGTGGATCGGCGCCGCGGAGTTGTCGTCGTTGTGGCTGCCATTGCCGGCCAAGGGTTTCCCCCGGTCCTAAGAGCACCACCATCCAATCACCGCCCACGACCCGGATCTGGCGAGCAAGGACACGCCGAAGCCCAGATCGAGTGGGATAAGGTGAAGGAGATGAAGCTGGCGCTGGTCGATCCAGATTTGGTGGCCGGCCGACGGAAATCACGGCCCCATGAGCTCCCACCATCGGGTCCTCGCCGCCCACGCAAGCCGAGGAAGACCGGCCACACACCCGCAGCCACCCTCCGTCGCAAGGAAGGCGCCACCCACCTTGACCGGGGCCGTCACCCGGCACACCGAGCTCTCCGCGTGAGGCAGCAGCAGCCAGCCCCGCTGCCACATTCCTCGACACCGTGCGGGCTTGCCGGTGGCTATCTCTGGTGGCAGCGAGATCTGGAGGGAGGGGGAAGGGGGCCGGCGGCGCTCTAGGGTTGGGGTCGCCCGAGTCGCCCTAGAGGAGCGACGCGGGGCGAGAGATCCAAATGTTAGTTGTTTATACCGATGACACTTTTCTGTAATCTATACTTATACTATTAAACAATCAAACAAGAACTTCTTTAAGCACACCCCATAAAGTGTACACAGATCCAATACCACCGCATGATTAGGCCCACTAAAATGAATCTAACGGTTAGACCTAACCTAAACCATTTTCTGTGTGCACTTAGCAATTTACATTGACTGACCGTACTCCACCGTGGAGGAAAATATGAAACTCCACGCCTGGGAAATTAGGAAACAAATAATCATGGGTGCATCATATTCCAGGAAAGTAAATCAGAGTACATCCATCCTATTAGGAAACTAATCTCAGACAAATCCATCATATTAAAAAACTTATCTCGGATGCATCCATTCTATTAGGAAGCTAATCGCTAGCCGCCTACCGCCATCATCCACATCAGTCGGATTTTATTTTGTTTCATGACAGAGAAACCATATACCTTTCGCTATTTTGCCACATATATTTATTCTTATATACTTGTGCAGTTTCAAATAATTCAACATATCTGCAGTCATCAAACTTGAAGACATACTTTTTAAGGCCTTATTTGCACCGCATCTCTCTTTGTCTGCACGCCTCTTTCCTCCAGTAATAATAATGAATAACTTTTTCCGGATCAGGTATTACACTGTTACAAATGTATGCTGAAGCTACTCCTTACGAGAAGAAAAAAGAGGATGAATGCTTTCTATCTTCACCAGTTTTGTAGCATGTTCCAAATTGTTGGCTCTTTCTTATTTGAGGATTCATCATGTTTTTTGTAATTTAGAAGCTGACTTGAAAGCTTGATAAGGCTAAGCTTGACAAATACTCTGAAATATTGTTCCTTCCATCTTTATTTTTCTTTCTAACTCATTTCAATTTCTGTATGCACAGAGCATCTTACATCATTGTAAGTTAGTATGGTTGGTGGTTGCCAACGCATAAACACATATAAAACCGGATAAATGCTTTCTATCATGATAATTATTGGATTTCTTTTAGCCCTTTTACATTTCAATTAGTTCTTGTAAATAATCTTTATTTTATATAAAAGCCGTTGTAGTCACATATCATCTTCTATTTCCTATTATCCATAGTAGGTAGCTATATTATTTTGGCAATCCACACAACCATAAAATATATATAATTTGATTCAAATTAGTACAAGTATATATTTTGCTACGCAAATTAGTAGAATAAAATAAGATTCGAGAATTAAGCATCTTGAACAATATAATTGCACCGTAAGGCAGTTTATACTTTTTTTTCCTGGCTACACTCGAAGAGAAGACTACACTACAAGGCTATATTACTGCATTAATAAATAATTGCTTATTTTATTTAAATGAGAATATTTTCCTGCGATTACTCTATGAAGCAACATAACCACTATTGTGTCTCACTTTTGAAAATACAATTTGAGCGACATCAAACATTGTGTATCCATTTGATTTATATTTCTAAAAATATTTATTTTTTTATATTATGTGAATCTCACCTGGTTTACGTTTGGGACGTGCGTTGCACATGCATGCTTACTAGTTTTCATAAAAGAAAGGTATCCATCACATCAATCGATGGCAGGCGTCTAAGAGTGGGCTGAATTCCCGCCTTACTACCAAACGAAAGGCCGAGGCTTTCGCTGGTGAGGAGTGCTCGCGTGCAGCCAAAAGGCTCGACTGCTCCGACGGAGATAAGAAGTTTGCGGCGGAGACGGTTGCCAGCGCCCCAGGAGATGAGAATGAGACTCCAGCAAAAAAGATGTGGCGGCTGCCACTGGAGGAGATCAAGTGGATCCTTGCACAGCCGAACGAACCCGTCTGGGCTGAGATCCGGGAGCTCAAGCGTGCCAACCCGTCGCTGCTGCCCACGCCGGAGGAGGAGAAGGATGAGGCAATGGTGCTGCTGTACGCATGTGCCCGCGACTGCTATGAGGACGAAGACAAGTTTGCGAGATTCCAGGCCTGGGTCCGTAGCGAGTACGCCTCCATGGGATTTGTGGAGGTCGACTACGACTACTTCGGTGAGAGGGCCGAGGCGACGAGGCTAAGCAAGGAAGCGCCGGAGGAGGTGTTCGGAGACACCGACCTTTCTTCATTGTTCTTGTAGAGCATAGGCTCATGGACACCCTCTATCCATACCCTCCAATATAGCTTTGAGATACGTGCTAGACAACTAACTTAATGCATAATTTTTTTTCTTTTTTGTTGCTTTCAAATAGAACAACATATGAACTTCAAACTTTGCAAAATAGCAAAACATTCTTACTACAATGAGAGAAAAAACTTATAGATTTTTTTGACGGATATTAATATACAAAATGAGATTTTCTTTATTAAAAAATGTTATTTTTAATACTTATGATGGAAGAAAAAAATCTGAAAGCTTTTTCTCTCATTGTAGTAAGAATGTTTTGCTATCTTGCAAAAGTTTTAAGTTCATATGTTGTTTTATTTGGAAGAAACAAAAAAAAAAGTTCTTGCGCGAATCGCGATGCAGAGATGGATGGCTAGATAAGGGGGTGCACCTAAGCCTATGCTCCACAGGATATTTTCCTTCTTCGGACAGCGAGGACGATGATGAGTTGAAGCTTCTCAAGAGGACAGTTAGGGGCTGGGTCTGAAACCCATATCTATCTATTTCAGCTTTGATTTCTGATGCGTGTGGCTTGTCACGGCATTGATCGGAGCTCCTCTTCCTTATCTTGTAACACCCTGCTTGCTACAACAATTCATTGTATGAACGCAGTTTCCCAATTCATCAAGAAGAAATTATTTGTCTTTTGAGTTCCCATATCAATTTGTAGTGATGATAAAACGCCACGTACAATAATAATTGACCTCTGTAGTCTTCGACATTGTGCTCCTACTCTCGGTTCAAAGAATTTCAAGTGTAGTTTTTTGATCAACTATTATTCGTTAGTATTAGCTGACCGATATCCATGTGTATTTAGTGAATGAATGCAATTTCCTGAATCAACGAAAAGATGATACTGATATATATACACTCAAAAAGAAGTATCGCAGAATGACGCCGCTTTATTGTAGACTGCCCTCAGTCGCCCAATGCCCGCCGTCTCCTCGCCCAACGCCCTCGCCGGAGTGCAGCTTCCTCCATCGTGTTTCAGCAGCAGCCTGCAGACTATAGGATCAGTTCAAGTAAGGTCAGCGAGCACGGGTAGCTCTCTCCTCCCTCGTTATTTTGTCGAGCCACCTGCCTGCAGACTGTAGGATCAGTTCAAGTAAGGTCAGCGAGTACCATGTAGTTGAGGAGGCGACCACTGGCGGCTACCACGAGAGAGGAGCCTGGCGCGCCAGCGTCATGGCAACCTCGGAACGTATCTACCAAGGTTATTTAATGCATCACAGTCACCGTAGCTTCAGGCTTTCAACATGTGATAATTTTACACCTGTTCGAATAATGCCGCCCTGTCCTGAGGTGCAGATGCTTATGGCCATGTAATCCTACTGGGCAGCAGGGGTAGGCGATGCCTGATAATCAAGAATACACGCATGAACCACGGAAGACAAATTGACTTCTGCAGATTTATTGCTGGCTTTTCATAATCAGCCTTCCCCATTTCGTTTAGAAGATGGCATTAGGACATGAGGTCAACCACAAAACGCAAATTGACTTCTGCAGAGTTGTTTCGATGCAGGGCTGCCCAAAAAATATTCCAAAAACAAAATATTGGTAGGTGCCGCCAAGTGCGGAACCTCGGAGAACCTGTTTCCCGGAATGTATGCTGAGCTCAGAACTCGACAAATCTACGTTTGGCTAGCCACTGCAAACTTTCACCGAGTATCAACCTCAGCAAACACGGGCGGCTAACCCTAGCCGCCGCCGGCGGTCTCCCCTCCCCTTCCTCTCCTCCTCGTCGCCACCAGAGGAGCCGCCGATGCGTCACGCGGCTGCCGAGGAAGGTGGCGGCGAGGCCTTCGTCGTCCCTTCGCGGAGATCCGGATCCACGGGGCGGCGGCCCCTGCTGGTTCGGCGCCGCCGTTCGCGCCCTGGACGGTGTGCGCGGGGACTCTGCCCGGCGTCCTCGACCGCTCGGGTGGTGGGGAGTCGGCGCTTGGCGGCGGCAGTTCGGGGGCCTTCGTCCTCGCCAGATCTGGAGGCCTGCTGCTTCCTCGTTCCCGCTCCTTCCCCTTTGCGCTTGATGCCGGTGGATGCTGCTGGTTCCGGTGCTTCTGGGGATGGTGGTGCAGATTGGGACCGGGGGAAACCCTAGGCCGGATGGTTCGGCTCGACAGCGGCGTCGGCTTCGGGCGACGCATCCTTCCTGAAGGCGGTGTCGTGGTCCTTATTCTTGTCACCTCCGGTCCTCTCCCGGGTGAAAACCCAAAATCCGGCCTGGATTGGGCAGCAGTGGCGCCATGGGCGTCATCCCCTCCTTGGAGGCGTTGCCTGGGGAGCTAGGACTCGGGTGTGGTCTCATGAAGGTGGGGGCTTCGGCCGCCGGCTGGATCTCTGCAGCTGCTCGCGGCGGCTTTCATGTTGTGCAGAGTGCCCCTTGTATATTTAGGGCGTTTCCTGTTTTTGGTGTTCGCCTCGGAGGAGCGGCGTGGCATCTGGCACGTCGACAACGGCGAGTCTCAGCGGCATGGAGCAGTAGGGGTATCGCCGGTGGGCGTGTGATGATGGACGAGCGCAGGATGATGGCGCTGTCTGGCGTCGTGGTGGCGTCGATGGCAGAGTGATCTGGCACGGTTCATGCAACAGTACAGCTCTGAAGATGGATTGATGGTACGTGGCTGCGGCGGCCTCATACCCGGCAGGGGTCCTGGTTGAAGAGCACGCCGGACTGGTGGGTGCCCATACCCGGCAGGCGTCCTGGTTGAGACCTCAGGTCTTAGATGTTAGGTTTGGCTGCAAGGTCTGTTTGGTATTAGGCCCAGACCATCAGCGCCCCTTCATCAGTTAGATAGGAGTAGCGATAGAGGTTGCGAAGATGGTGGCTTTGGTCTTACTGTTGTACGACTTTGTAAGGTCTTGTGTTAATAACTAGATCATTGATGGCGCGCGTTGTTGCGCTCGTCTATTTTTACTTAAAAGAGTTGTTAGAGATATGAAGTAACATGTATACATTTGTTTGCAATGCTTTTATATATTGTATTTGTCTCTCCATTTTATAGAATATGATGGGATGTAACTAAAGAGAGAAATCAAGAATATAATGCTATGTAACTCAAGAGAAATCCAGTCCGATTGATCTGCAAAAAAGTACTGCCTCCGTCTCAAAATAAGTGTCTCAACTTTAATAATCTTTGTACTAAAGTTAGTACATAGTCGAGACACTTATTATCGGAGAGGGAGTAGTATTTTGAGTTTTCTCCTTAGGTCTAATGTTTGAGTTGTGGTATTAAGCGCGGAGATATAAATTATGACTGATATGGAACATGACCTCTTTTTGCCTCCTAAAAAGACTCCCACAAAGACTCACATCATGATAACTAAAAAAGATATCGAGGAAAGACATGAGAGAGAGAGAGAGAGAGAGAGAGAAGGCAGTACAAATATTTCAAAACTTCGGGGCGATATTTATTATCTTAAAAAATCTCAATGCGTTCTGGCCAGTAATACAAGTACACATTGTGGTCTAAGGGACAAATATTCTGCACTGCGTCATAATAGATGACCGAATGTGTACTTGCTCAGATTTGAGGTTGTAGAATACCATTGATCTACAATAATAATAAAAATTCTCAAACTCAATATCAAATGCTAGTGGGTTGTTGTGAAACAATGGCTCAAGTTGTGTTACATCTTAACCAACTTAAAATTGCTTACACTGAAATACAAACAAAATACTTGTTAGCAAGGAAAATCAATTGAGAAATAACTACATAAGTAATGTGCCAAGGAGAAGTGCACAACAGTTATAATTGCTCCGTAAATAACATGGTGTATGTTGATGAAAAAACAATAATAACAACATTACCTACAGAACATTTTTGCTAGTATATGAAGGGAACATTTTTGCTAGTATCATGTGTTCCACGGATCTGACCTTGCTTTCTGTGCAGGTCTTGAGGGCATTGTTAAGTAATAAACTAATTAAGATGGAGACTGCAGGTCTGAATATATTACTCACTAATTAGACTTGCTAGCTAGTTCCTCCATCCAGGTTTATTAGGCCCCCCACTATTTTGAGCCAAACTTTGACCATCCATATTCCCAGTAAAATATAAAATATATGGTACAAAAAGTACACGGTTGGATTTGTATTTGAAAGAGCTTTCCGATGATATAATTTTTGTGACATACTTAAATTTATTGGTCGGCCTAATAAACCCGGATGGAGGGAGTTGCTAGCTATGAGAAAACTTGGGAATCAATCTGAGGTCCTAATAAAGAAACTCATTGATCTCATTAGTTAGCCGATCGATGCAGCCTTGATTCACACGTTGGCAAAAGGTAGAGCTGGCAGCTAGCATGTCGTCTTCTCGTGGGATTTCAACCTTCTCGGTTAGTATATTCCGTTGAGACATATATTTTGCAACTGGAACAGTAAAAAGTAGTCTAGCAGTGAACCCAGGCTACAGATAATGGAAAGGGATTGAACAATCACAGCCGAAACCAGGGGAGTAAATGAGTCTCACCTTTGTTTGAAGACAGCCATTCTAGAATGCATGTCGACAGATTCAGTATTTTACTACAACTTACTGTCGATGAGAAAGTCAAAATAAATGGAGTTAGTAATGAAGTAAACACCTATTCTAGGCCTAGACTACAAATGTGTGGGTTGGGTTGTTCAAGAAGATAGAACATAAGAGCACAAAAAGAAACAGTTTTGAGCATCTTGGATGAATCTGCTTCAGTTTGCGCCTGGTCAACATGTTTGTAAGCAATATCAATGGTACTGAAAATGACTTCTCACACATGATGACATGCACGTCAATAAAGCGATGAGCCCAATCTCTGTATTATGATGTTTATTAAAGACTTGCGAAGCTAGAGAAGCCAAGTCCTTTTCTTTAAGAACACAACAAGTGGTACACTTGCAAACAAGACTGCTTCATTCATTAACTAATTGGTTTTTCCAATTGCTAGCTAGACATCGCACCACAGATCCAATGAAATTAATACTCGGCCATTTCAATGAATCTGCACCGTGCAAAACCATTCTAAACCGGGGTGAACAAGGAAGGATGCTAACCTTTGTTTTGTTTGAACGCCGGCCATTTCAGAATATGTGTATGTCAGGCTAAGGTTATGGCAAACACAATAATTTTCTTCACGACATTGTATTCCAAGTGCAGACCAAATATTGTAGTTTGCATAGTGAAATATTTTTGCATATGTACGTAGATTCAGTTTGTTCAACTTACAATCAAGAAACTAAATGAAATTAGTGGTGGGAACCTATAGTATGTAACATCTACCTAGATGGAGCCTTGCAGGCATGTCTGAACATGATGCATATACATTACTAAAGGCAACTTGGCAGCCATACCTAGGTAGCGATGAAGGTTCAGGTTAGCCGAACGTGGAGCTGGCTTCTAGCACGTTTCTTCAATGGGGTTTTGCTGCATCCATCTTGAGATTAATAAAATCATAAATTTAGTAGTAATCAACAGTCTAGCTAGCAGCTACATAGAGGCGGGTTGAACAGTCAAG